AGTGGAGAAAATCAGAGTACCTGGCAGCTTGCTTGTCGGGGCCTGGGGCTGAAGGCAGGCTGCCTCTCCTCCTCCCGCGGTCAGACACACCTAGGTTCCCTTTCTGCCCATCGCTTCCTGCCTGACCATCCTTATCCCATCACCTAATCTCCTTTGGCTCTGTTTTCTCATTTGTTAAAACTGGGTTAAAAGTCCTTACCTCAAAGCTTCTACTTGAATTTTTTACACAGCAGTTTAAATACACAGTTTAGTTTGAGTGACTGTAAGCCACCTTAACCTGCTTTTCTCCAAGTTCAGCTTTGAGTACGTAACTGCTGAGCTCCCAAAGAGTAAAGCAGCTCTATCTGCGGGGAGGGGCATTCCGTGTCTGGCTCCATCCCATCTGAGCTTACTCCAGCAAGACCGGTTCCTCCCGGCCTGCCCCATCGCATGAGCCTGGGACAGGACTTCCTCTGGGCCTAGTGGCAACTCTGTATCCTGGATGCCACTGAGTGTGCCTGCTTATCCCCACTGGGGGTCTAGACCCTTCTGTTTTCTCTAAATGCTCATTGTCCTCCAGAGGGTCCCATCTACATGGCCTCATGCTAATCTTATACTGGTTACCATGTCATCGAAGGCCACCTTAAAAGCTGCCCTATTTTCTGCGCCACTGTTTCCATTTAGGGACTAAAGCTGGCACAAGTGAACTTCTGGAAGGTATCTGTGTACCTGAATGGGGGCCACAGTGGTGAGCCATGCAGCGCTGGCAGCAGGCGTGGGCAGTGTGGCAGGCTGCTGGGGATGGCCGTATCCTGGGGTAGCTCACAGCTTGCCAGAAAAGTGTCCATCCCTGCTGCGGGGGGACAGAAGGTATAGGGCATCTAGTGGGCTGGAGGAGGGAGGAGGCTTCCCCCGAGGCACGCCTGGAGGGGGAGCTCTGCTGGCACGATCTGTGGGGTGGGGGCAGCAGAGGAGGACTCTGAGCAGCATCATGGTAAATGGCCTTGGGGAAAACAGCTAGAGAAGAGCCCAGCCTAGGTGTGCGATGCTGCTACTTTTCCACACCCCACAATGGCAGGAAGCACTCCACCCCAGCTGGGCACATGCTGGGCGGCTTCTGGGCAGCGCCCTTATCCCGGCCACCTACTTCTCTCCTTTCTTTTGCCCCACTGTGGTACCCTACAGGTTTTGCTACCTAAATGAGCCCCACTCAAGTGCCAACTGGCCCTTAACCTACTCTGACCTGCTGGGGCCAGGGCCTACCCTTTTCTTTTTTTAAATTAATTTTATTGAGAAAGAAATAACAATGAAACTGTTTCAAAATAGGTTAGCAAGACAGCTACAAAAATTAATACTTCACACATTGTCTTTGTAGTTTTTCATAGTACAAGATGCAGACATGATTTTTTTTTTTTTTTTGCGGAACCAGGGATTGAACTCAGGCCCTTGCACTTGCCAGGGAAGCGCTTATTCCACTGAGTCATCTCCCCGTCCCCAAAAGACATGATATCTTGTCTAAACACTATTAGTACAAATCTTTCTTCTTATTGAACTGAGAGAAGGTAGCTGTATATCTATCTTATTTTGTGTGTGTGTGTGTGTGTGTGTGTGTGTGTGTGTGTGTGTATATATATATATATATATATATATATATATATATAATTTTTTTATTACAAAATGGTCCTTTACATAAGAGGACATGTACTGTAAAATCCTATAACTCAGTGATGTCCCAAATTTTCTGATCAAGGAGTTTTTTGGGGGCCACAGAGGAAAGTGATCGACGATGTAGAATGTGCCTAAGGAGAGTCACATGGAGAGAAAACATTCTCTCAGGTTTTCACAAAGAGCAAATTGGTCAAGCAATGGCTGTGACTTATCCACATGGCTGACACTGACAAAGGATCTACAAACTGTGGTAGAGGGTTTCAGGGTAAATTCTGAGGGGATTTGACTGACCTTGTCAGATACAAAAGTTATATTTCTTGTTATATAGGTCTTGCTTTATCTTGGTCTTAACCATCCAGCAGAAAAGTATAACAATGAGGTATAAAAAGTAAAGCCATGTTACTATGCTAAGCTGTAAAAGGCTCAAGTCAACAACTTCTGACATTGCCAGTCGTATGGATAACTAACTACTATTATGGACTACTGGACTATATTGGATTATTTTGTTGAATTCACACACCTACAATATTTAAATGACAATGGAATACCCATCTCTGACAAAACTGAACAAAAAAAGGGGATAAAATGAAGGACCATTTTGTATCTGTATATACAAAATAGGATAGATATACAGCTACTTTCTCTTAACTCAGTGAGAAGACAGATTTGTGCTAATAGTGTTTGGACAGGATATCATGTTTGCATCTTGTACTATGAATAACTACTATGAAGACAACAATATGCAATGTATTAGTTATTATAACTGTCCTACTAAGCTGTTTTGAAACTGTCTCATTGCTATTTTTCAATAAAATTTTTAAAAAGGAAAAATAATGGTCCTTCATTTATATCCCCTTTTTTGTTTAGAGTTGTCAGAGATGGGCATTCATTGCCATTGCCTGGGTATACAGCTACTTTCTCTTAATTCAGTGCCCTCTCTGTTACATAGGTGGCCACAAACATAATGAGTACCCCCCCCCAGAGGCCAGTATGTCCTTGTGGCACCCTCTGCTTCCTGAACTGCCCAGGATGTAGGCCTTCCTATTTGCAACACAGAGCAAAAGTATGCACTCCAGGGGTGGCCAGGCTTGGGCTTGAACGCTTGCTGTACCACCAAACTACCAGCCAAACTGTTTTGAAAAATCAGTTAGTCTGACTTGGTATCATTCCCTATAACCAAGGGACATAAACTGGGAAGCTGTCAGAGCGAACTGTGACACTGTAGGTTGGAAACCTCAGGACTAAATGACACTGCTCAATAAATACTGCTTCATAGGTTTATTACTGTTATCATATAATCAATTTATTTCCTAGTAAACCTCCATTTGCTATTCTCCAGTGTTTTAATAGTTTTAAGCTCTTTCTTCCATATCTGTGTGAGGTTTGAAGTTGGGCAGCATAACATCGTTTCTAATTAGTGTGAGTTCATTTCCTTCTTCTGGTGTCCTAAAGCTTCCATGCTGAAATACTAGGCTACGGATGACCACGGTAACTCTACATATCCCCCAGCAAAGCTGCCTTTGTGTAGAAGGTGACTGCAGGTGTATGTGTGGGTGGCTGTGCATGTATGGGTGACTATGCAGATGTTGGTGACTGTGCACGTGTTGGTGACTGTGTAGGTGTGGGTTCCTGTGCAGGTGTGGGTGACTGTGCA